TAAAGTCATTCGTTATTGTCCGTATTTCGTTTGGTGCGTATTTGTTTTTGAGCATTAGGTACCTATGGTATTTTGTAACTCTTGCAATAGATTTTCAGCTTTCGTATGGTGCCAAGTCTGTACTACTCTTTTGAAATTTCAGGTATGTATAACATTCAAATAAACTATTATTTATTTAAATAGGTATTACCTATGTAAATTATTATTGTAAATAGTGTTTTTACTATAGATATAGTAATATAGACATAATCATGCATCACTTGGGATACGATTATGTTGCTAATGGCCGTGCAAAACGAGATGGTGTAAGGTAAGTTTGCAACATTATACAATTACCTATATCATCTGTATTTTTTTAATAAGCTAAGTAACTTATAATAATGTAATATCTTTAAGTACCTTAGTAATAATTACTAATTAGTATAACAATTTAGAAATAATTTAAATCTGGGACGAATAGTCACCCTATTTTGGGTGTAACCTATTATGTTAAAAATTGGTGGTTATCAGTGCCGTAGCCAGACATTTTTTTTTTTTTGGGGGGGGGGGGCTTAATTTTTTCTCAAGTTTTTGAAATGCTAGAATATCTAATTATGACCCCTTAGTTCATAAAGTATAATATCTACTCTTTTTCTGACTATATATTTATGTTAACAACTACGATACCTAGGTATATTTAATATAACAATGTAGGTACTAACATTACAAACAGTACCAAGTACTAACAATGTAAACCATAGGTATTCATTAATATATATATTAAGTATAACTTATAAGTGCATATAAGTTAATAAGTATATTAATATATCATTACATATTATAGGCATTATTTAGTATCAATATGTGTTGACGTGTTGTAAACAAAACTTTTCATTTTTTGTTCGACCATCAATATAGCTTTCATTACTATTTACTAGTTAACAAGAATACTATATTTAGGCTGTTGAAAGCTGGTCGTTTTTTCGTGCATTTAAACCAATAAGCGGAAAAAAATATACTACCAGACTCCAGTATAAGTTCAATTTTAATTTTTATACATTCTTAGAGTTTCTTCCCTTTTAGTCTGTTTTCGCTTTTTTGTAATACTCAAGTGAATTTTGAAAAAAAAATATTAATTTGGAACTATACTAACTAAACAATACAATAAATCAAAAATCCATTTGCTTCATAATTTCTCATTTACACATTGGGATCTCAGGTGTACTGTAGTAGGTAATAATATAGCCATGGTAGAATTATATAGTTCAGTCAGTCAAGTTAAATTACTCATTGTGTGTATATGTTCTCTGTTTAATATTATAGTTCATTTATATTACAAACATTTTTTACTCTTTTCTTAATAACCTATTCTATTCCAAAATTTCACAACACTTATCTTCATTTATAGATATTGGAAATGTGCTGTTTCAAGAATTAATTTTTGTCCCGGTTCAGCTAAAGAGATAGCACCAAATCGGTACCAAGTACTAAGTACCCATAACCATGACCCTAACATTCCAAATCCTATTATCGCGTTCAAACATTGTTTAAAAAGAAGAGCTGCTCAAGAGACAGGATCTTTAAAAACCATATATAGTGAAGAGGCTTTGCGGTGAGTTAAATTTAGAGTTTTTGATTACATTCAGGTAAAATATAAAGTGTAAGTTAAATTTATTTTTTTCTTATTTTGTTCATAGATACCATGATGCAGCTCTTCAGTATCCTTGGTCAACAGCCGAAAACAAAATGAGACCTGCTAGACGAGATGCACTTCCGCCTATTCCAGCAAGTCTTCGTGAATTAGGTGATGTCTTTGAAAACGGATTGTTGAATAGATACTCTTGCTTCCGTGAACGTATCATGTACAAGACTTGCCTTAGAGATTCAAATGGGTTTTATTCTGTAGTGTTTGCTTGTAATGAGTTATTGGATGAAGTTATTCGTTATGGTGTAACCGAATTACATGCCGATGGTACGTTCAAAGTAGTTCCTTCCAATTTAGGAGCAAAGCAAGTAGCAACTACTAGTCATCCATTGCATGATCCAAAATCACGTAAGCAAATTAATTTGTATCATTAGTATTTTTAGTATAATGGAATTAGCATTATTCAAATAAGTCCCTAATTTGTACAAAGCGAACTCAATTTTATATGAGAGTAAAACAAATTACATTTTTTGTAGGTATTACATTTTAACTTAAAAATCATTTAAATTTAAAGCCAGATTGATTATAAAGTTATCAATGTTTTTAGATAACCAATTAATTATTAGGTATAGCATATTATTTTTTTGTGAATGAAATTTTCAATTTATTTTACAATATTCTTTAATCGTTTTTTGGCTAAGGTGTGTATCTTTTTTCAAATGAGGTAAATTGAGCTCACTCAGAATTGTTATTTTCAAAAGCAAATTACAATATTGCTCACAAATATCATGTACAAGTTTTAACTAAACCTTCTAAAACAGTGACCTACTCCAAAGCGAAGTTGCTACCAAGTCCTTATTAAGGGGAGGGCATGATCCCGATACCCATAGATTTAAGGGCTCTAATCCTTTTAGTAATACATACTAAGTATACATAGAATTTGGAAAAAATAAAATAAAAATGTTTACCTACATGTTATATCAAGAAAAATTATTAAATTTTAATTTTTCTCATAACAATGTGATAAAATTGGAAAATTGTTGAAAATAGAAGTATTACACTAGGTATATTATTTGTGGTAATACTTCAAATTAGATGTCTTCACTTATTTGCATGTAATTTTATTTATATTTTAATATTTACTATACTTAATCTGTTATGTTATTATTAAAAATAAAACATGCATGTAGTATGTAAATATTACAGATATATTTTATTTGTCTTCTTTGTTATTTTATTTTTAAATGGTACACAAATATATTTAATTGTTAAAAAGTAGTAGGTACATAAAAAGAAAAAAATTATAAGTGAGAATAAAGGTTGAAGTTTCAAAGTTTAGAGGGGCCCACTAAGTGTTTAATGTCCAGAGGCCTAATAGATCTTTAATCCGGCTTGAACTGCTACCCCATTTAAATTTCCACGCAACCTTAAAATTTCCAGCTTTTTAAAATTGTCAGTTAATAGCTAATGTTTAATATTACCTTAAGTTCGCAGGTTAAAGATACTGTAAACCTAATCTAGACATATTTTAAACTTTAATACATAATTTGTAGTTTGAAATTTAATTATTAAATTAATGTACCTAACTTATGTTTAAATAATTACTTTGTTTTAGTCTATTCCTATATTATTTGCACTCATGCAAAAAAAATCTAAAATTGCATACAATGTTATCGTTGAATATTTACGGTCATTAGCTCCAACATTAAGGCCAACTAATATAATGACTGATTTCGAACCAGCCTTACGTGATTCTTTATTGGAAAATTTTCCGGAGGCTGTTGCACATGGTTGCTGATTTCATCATAATCAGGTTAGTTGATTTTAAGTATTATTTTTTTATTATTTTAATCATATAATATATACTTATATAATATATATTGTTAAATTATTTATGATATAATTATTATAAAATATATGATATTCAATGAAAGCTTTAAAAAGTTTTGAATAATATTAAGAATAGAGAATGTTTTTTTTATGTTTCTAGGCAGTATGGAAAAATGTTGTGAAGCTAGATTTTTTGCATTTGGTTAATACAAATGATATAGCTCTAAAAATTATTAGAATGCTGATGTCACTTCCTTTATTGCCTGCTATGTCGATGCGACTAGGTTTTGATGAATTGCGTCTTTACTCCAGAAGAAATAATGTCAATTTCGAATCCCTTTTTTCTTATTATGAAAGGTACATTACTATTTGAGGTTCAATTCTTTTAACTTATTTATACACTTATACGTGTGTATTCATATTCATTATTTTAATATTTTACATTTATAGGTTCTGGTTAGATAGAATGGGAACACAATTCGTTTCTGTGTATAATTGTCCTCGGCGAACAAACAACAATGTAGAATCATTTCACAACAAACTGCGTCTTAAATTTTGTTCTGCCCATCCAAACTTATGGATTTGTATTGGTAATTACTAGATAATTAATAGGTGAATTACCAAATATGTGTTAAAATTAGGTATACCTACATTTAAAATGTTCAAAATATTTTTTCAACAGAAAAGTTATGCGATATTAGTAAAGAGTACCATGTTATGATTGGTCAAATAAATAATGGAAGGAGACCTACACGCTCTTTGAGTAACCAGTTTTTGGCCAATGGAAGGCAAATACGCGATGCCACAGCAGAGTATGACTTACTGCTGATAACTCATATGGACTTTTTGCATAGAGTATCATATTCAGTTGGTTCTTATGTAAATCGCCAAAGAAATTGGGTGACTAATATTGAAAATCAAAACCCTCAAGAAAATATTAATGTAAGGGACATAGATAACAACTTGCCTGCACTTGTTGAAAATCGTAAGTGTTACTGAAGTAATAACATACTGTATAGACAATTTTATAATACATGCATTTTTTAGGTGTGTTTGAAGTTGAAAATATTGGTAATGCTGAGGACAATCAACTTCCTCAACAAAACCCTCATTTTGAACATAGAGAAAATGACAGTGGTAAGCTGAATAGTCATTGTTCAAATAATTATGTAAAACCTGAAAACCATTATGAGCCAAGGGAGTAGTTAGAAAACAATTTTTGTTTGTGATGATTACGTTAACAATTATATTTTTTGATTTAAATAATTAAAACCAAATGTATTACACTTTTATAATTACCTATTTAATTTAATTTGTGTGATCAAAGTTGGAAGGGAACTAAGGTACGGATTTGGTTAGAACAATGTTTTAGGGTTAATAATAATTTTTATTTTGTTTTTATATTTGAAGAGCGTTAAACTCCAATTTTCCCCTAAGCTACAGTCTTGATTATTATATATTATTATGTTGATGCGTATGGTGATCAAATTCATACATTTTATAAGATAAAAAAAAAAAGTTAATATACACATTGTAATTATAAGTCTTTTGTTCTGTAGGTGAAATTATGGTTGGAGATGTTGAAAATGAAATTTCCATCACATCAGGTAAAATAAAATAATATAGTTGTATGTACCTTCATATAATTTGTTCATATAGTGCTAATCTTTATAAAGGTTATTAAATATTAAAAATTACTATAACTTTTTTATGATTTAAATGTATTTAACTTTTAATATAACTGCTATTTAAGAATGTACATTTTTTTCAGACAATGAAGAGGATTATTTCACACCGGAAGATAGAGATCCCGACATGCAGTATATGATAAATCTTGAGGCAAGAAGGCGACAATTGGAGTTAGAGCAAATACCTTATGTCAGAGTCCCGGCTATTCTTCCGTCTTTAATAAATATAGATGAAAAGTGTATAGTTTGCAAAGATGCTGAAAAAACGCATGCTCTGATTCCATGTGGTCACAAAGTAGTCTGTGTAGAATGTCTGGACCTTTTAGATCCCAAACGTTGCCCTTTGTGCAATTTAAATTTTATTAACTCCCTCAGAGTTTGGTGAAAATTTACTTAAATATTTTAATTGTATTGTGTACTTATTGTGTAACTACTTATGTAATATAATAGAATTGTACAATAAGAAATTGTATAAAAGGTATATTGAAGGAAAATTGTTGTATATTCATTTGTTAACCCTCTAAAAAACTAGAGATGAATATCAATCTAGTATATATTTTATTTTAAATAACTTTTATTGGATTATTGGGATATTTTGGAATTATAATACAAATAGGTACCTAGTTATAAAACCTAGTTCAAATAAAAATTCAAAATTTTACAACTATGAAAGAATATTATATTTACTACAGTTACAATTGTTAATTAAAATCTTCATTACATAGTAAAAATTGTTCATAATTTTTATCTTATATAAATTAATTAATTTTATGGAAAAGTTCATAAGATGATTAATTTAGGTCTAGTTGTTTAATTATGATTAGGTCAGTCCACACAAAATTATCCAAAGTATTTTCATGGTAATGTAATTTTTGTAAATTATAATATTTTTAACTCCACAATGCACTGTGTTTCATCTGGCCAAAAATCTAGAAAATGTAAATAAAACATCATATCATATAATACAGCTAATATTATGATGTTATTTTGAATTTTCTCCTTTTCCCTAGGTTCATAAACAATAGAGATTGTTTCATGGGATTTATGAAAAAAGGCATATTTTTCTATGACACCATTGTCATCATTCACCGTACAAAAGATTATAAACAATGTGTCTATAAATGAATGAAATTTTGTCTTGACATTTTTTGATTTTCCATACAATTATTATTATGTTTATTTTTGTTAATTGATCACTGATATCAACTTAAAAAATATTTATTTTAACAGTTACTTTATTAGTTTGATTAAAAATATATATTAAAATTGAATTATATAAATAAAGTTATATTTATTATCTTCTTTTATTATTATTAATATTATTAACTTATCATTATCTAATTCTATATTATCTTGTCATTATTATTATCTATATTGTATTCTTCTTGTTATATAGTAATTAAGTTACTTTTATGTTAATCAACTTGTGACACTTAGTTTAGTTTAAAGAAAATAACTGCATCCCATAGCAACCTAACCTTTTTTCTTATTTAGTTAGTTAATTTTCTAATTAACTAAAAAACTAATAATTCAATAATAATAATAATTATATTATTAACTCATATCCATTTAAAAATTATGAACTATAAATTAATAAATATCTTTCTATTATAATAGAAATATGTATGGGGTGTGGGGTACAACAAGGTATACAAATTGGTGAATACCTACTATTTTTTTTACAAGTATATTACAGTCCTATTTTTTTTTTCCAATCTCAGCTTTGAATTTTTTAAATGCAATAACTTATGACATTTAAATTATGGCCAATAAGGCACAATCGGATTTTTGTCCAGGAGCGGTAAAAAGATTATTAGATAGAACTATTGTGGTAGTAAAATTACATAATAGACACGGAAGAAATACATAGATATAAATTACAGATAATTTTTGCAACATATTAAAGTGACGGGCTGCAGAGGAAAATACAATTTTGAAAAATATATACCTACGATGAAGTTGATTGTTGATTTTATTTTGTTTAGATATAATGTTTCTTTAAAATGTATTAAATATAATATTTATATATCGATGGCGTAGCGCACAATTGTGATAAGTGACATTTTCGTAATTGTTCAGGAGAACGATTTTTAAGTTTGAGATGTCATAACAAATTCAAAAATGTAACGAACTGTACGACGTCTATCGGAGTAAATAATGAACTATTCACTTACAATGTTTGGGCATAATGTGCAGAATTGTATGATTAAATTGATTATGCACTTAATTCATTTTTCAAAAAAATGTCACTTATCACACTTGTGCGCTACGCCATCGATATATACAGTTAATCGTCTTGCTATATTGGGTATTTAAATTATAATAATACATATTATGTGTGTATAGGTATGAACAAATCATGAAAACCGGAAAAATCATTACAATTAATAATAATAGTTAGTTTGATATTTGCATTTAAAATCTATTAAAAAATAGCCAATAGGTACAGATAAACAAGAAAAAATACAGTTATTAGTATAATACTAAGATACATGTATTAAATATGAATGGGTGTATTGAAAATAATAGGTATATTGTCATGTAGGTATATCGTACATGGTTTAAAATTGTAAATGTCACACATTACCCCATTTTATATTTATAAATTATAATATTATGAACCACTTAAATAACTGCTTTTTTAAAAATAATATTATGTTGTATTTTAAGATTATTTTAACAATAAAATAAGTATGAATATTGTTACAAACAATAAGGTAATATGTAAGCAAACAACTCACCTATTTCAATATATCATGACTGAAATCACCACATTTCATATTACTATTATTATGAACCACTATAAAAGGCATTTGTATAGCAGGTGATCTACCAATTTTGTCATACGCAAAAACGAGATTTTCCTTAAGTAGTCATAACTCCAAAAATAATGTTGCTAGTAACTTGAGATGTTTAATACATATTCACAACATGATTGTACAAACGCGAGAAAAATTTAAAAAAAAAACTGTTAGCCTAAACCCTTATATTCATGGTTCCTTATTCCCACATAGATAATAGGGAATTATCAACTAAAACTCTATAATACCACCTTTTATCGCCGTAATACATTGTATGTTACCATCATTAACTAAGAATTTGTTTTTAATAATTCATATTAATTATTATTAATTTAAA